AAGCATGGCTTTGGCTACGGTTTTGGCAAATACCTGAGTATAGTGAGCAGCATACGCTGAAACTTGGTGTCGGTCTCCTTTGTATGCAAAACTTCCTTCTATCCGTCGATGTTCATGATCATGTCGGCACCATCTGCGATGAAGTTTGCTGCGCATGTGTCTTGACGTTATATTCACAATGGTTCTCTTCCTGAGAAATCGATCGTCCTGTGGTAGTCGCAACCCGCCCACTCGACATTGGTCAAATGACGCCGGCATCGTTCCCAGTGCAACATCATACACTTCTGACTGTTTCATGAGTTCTGAACCCTGTGGTTGTTCTAAATGAAAATGTCTACCTGCACAAACCTGGTGCCAATAGAGCTCATTACACAAAGTCAAATGCTCTCTTTCCTGTTCCCTCATCTGCAAAATGTGTCGTTCCGTTTCGAATCACTACTTCGAGTCATGTTCAGTCGTGAGAACCCTCCCCAATGTTTGCAATCAGGTGATGCCCAAATGTGAGTGGGTTCATACATATGAATCCAAGTACACAATTTGTTGATGCCTTCTGAGGTGGTCAAATCCCCATCTTCGCGGGTAAATCGCAAGGCTTTCCCCCTAAGCCATTCATTTGTTGGGTCAAATTGGGAATTTTTGAAACAATAAACCTCAAGACAATCAACTGGCCGATCGTGGAGGACTCGGGAACACCCAGACTGAGGTGGTCTTTGATCAGCGACACACTTTCGGGGCAATTTGGACAACCCGTCCTCAATCTTAAAAATGAGTTCCTGACACTTCTTATGAACCTCATCTGTGTTCCAGTACGGTGATTCGAATTGAAAGCGCCACGACGTTCCCTTCTCATGGAACCTCGGGCTGGTCGGTCTGCTGTGGTGCATGCTGAGCCAGCTCTCTCTGAAGGATTGCAATCTGGGTCTGGAGTTCCTGAACCTTCTGCTGATCTCCCGTCCACTGTATTGGACTGGTCACGCTGGTCTGAGCATATCCCCTCTTGAGGGCTTCTGGACTCATCGAGAGAGAAGTCTCGCTGTCCACGTGACTCCACTCGGCCTCGGATCCCATGGCTTGCCCCTGGTACTTGACATTCTTGTTCGGGATGGCTCCCGAGCTCACTGCAGAATGGCGATGAGCTGTTGCCTTCGGAAGGATGGGGCGCTGAAGCATCTCCCGAGCCAGCATCTTCTTCTGAGATTCTGGGCCTTGATGAAGTTCTGATAACTGAGCATGTCGTGGGATGTCAGTCGGGAATTGTGCAGGATGAACTGGGTGTATCTGCTGTCCTGGTCGTAGACCTCCTGAAAAGTCTTCCCCTTGTGTTTCCTTGACTGGAACGTTTCGACGCCCCATTGGTACAAGTTCTGGATCCCTGTCGGCACCTTGTAGGTGTAGGTGTGAGGTTGATGACTCTCCTGCACCAACCCTTCGTCCTCCTCTCCTGACAAGGCCTCCAGTTGATACTGGGGAGTGGTCTTTCGGAGAGCCATGAGTCGACGCGTCCGTGCACTGACAAGTCGGCGGATGTTCTTGATCTCGCTGGAGGGCTGCATGAGTTGGCCCACAAAATGAAATGTGATCCGATTCTTGTTCTCGCAAGTCTGTGGTCTGTTGCAACTCTGTCTCATCTTTCTCTGGAGGGGTGTTGAATTCAACATGCATGTCCCGTTTGGGTTTCTCGTCTGTATCGTTCGTTGTTTCCTCACAAGTATGCAGGTCTGGTTTGGGTTTGTCATCTGTGTCGTTTGCCGTCTCGACATGAGTGTGTAAGTGTAAACACGTGTCTCCTGTTCCATCGAAAAAGCGAAGACACAACAATTCACGAACGTTCACACAATTGAGTTTCTTTCGAACCTGTCTGAGTTTCAGATGATCCTTACTCCCATGAAAACTCATGATCCCTTCATGAACGTCTAGGATACCTTTCATGCCTTCAATGACAGCAGTGGAAATCAAAAAGGGGGTGCTTCCTGGCACGATCTCCACGCGGAGCCAGCCTTTTCCAAATCTTCTCAGAAAAAGTGCTTCTTCACTATGGAGCAACCCACTGTTTCCAAAACGAAACACACACCTTGAGGGCCCTCTCTGAACCTCAATCCCCTGAAGAGCCTTGAGCAAACCAGGAACTCTCTCACTACCAATGATCGTTCGACTTGCTCCAGTGTCTAAAATGGCTTCTCCACTGGTTTCCTCTGCAACGTTTGTCTCGCGAGAGGTCAGTGAAGATTGATTGATGGAGAAAGGCTGACTCAAGCTCTCGGCTTGTGGCGGTCCGGCTGATCGTCTTGACATCTGTTCATTTCGCTGCCTCGCCACGTTGGTGAGAGCCAAGGTCAACTTCTTTCGAAAATCTCTACCATCCAACACCGTCAAACACTCGTCAAACACACTCTTCATGGGCTCTCCCCAATGTCAGGTGGGTTCCTTCATGTATATCTTCACTATAAATTGGGGTGGCATAAAACTTCAAATGAGAAAAACTCTTTTGACAAGTCTCCTGAATCTCATCCGGCAGGTCTTCGGGGAGCTCGGATGGGTTCTCATAGGTGAGGTCCTCTGCCATGGTGGCCATCTCGGTCTAGCGATCTCCACGATCCTGACGTTGCGGGCACTCCCGCTTCCAATGCCCTTCCAATGCCCGCAGATCCTGCATGTTGAATTGGCTATGCGCTCTGCTAACGTCCTCCTGGGCTGGAAAGGAGTGGTTCCCTTGCCACCTTTCTTTCCACTGCTGGAATATCCTTTCCCTTTGGGATTTCCGCGAGGTGGCCAGAATCCTCTGTGTCTGGTCTGGCACGCTCTCGAAGGCGAGCTCTCGCCTCCTGATAGGACAGGAAGCATTGGGCCAAATCACCTGACTCTTGAACCGCCTCGATGATCTGGTCCTCGAAGTCGTTGGTGAAAATGGCGTCTTCATCGCCCTGTTCCAGCATGACCTGATAGGCCTGTTCTTCAACCACTGCATCATCGCCTGACATGGCGGTGTACACCGGCTCTTGCTCATCTACAGTATCGACATCGTAAGTCTTCCACTTCTTGTTGCCCCCTCCCTGCAGGTCCTGGAAAAATCTGGACCCTAGCAATCTCATGGCATCACGAGTGGAGTCGTAGGTGAGGATGCCTTTGTTGTCAACAATGATGCGCTTCTTCTCATCTCCAGTCAGCTGAGAGTGCCTGATCATCACATAGGCACGTATTTCCTCCAGTGTGACACCCTTGTCCTTCTGGAGGATCTCCTCAAAACAGGCTTCATGCCTTGCAATGTAACTGTCGTTACCCTCATCTGGCTTCTGGGTGGTAAGAACAATGCTCGTTCGAACTTCACATACCGATCCTCACTTTGAAAGCGGCCCCACTGCATCCCCAATGCATTGAGGATTGCTTCACAGCCATCCTTGCTCTTCAAACGATCGGGAACCATCTTGGATACCTTCTTGAAGGCCACGGGGTCGCACTGAAGTGCCGCTCGAGGTGCCAGGTGGGATATTGCATCCTCTGGCCAAATCGAATGCAGAAACATCAGTTTCTTAGCGTAGTCCTCAAGATCGGTTACGCCAGCGGTGAAATGAGGAATTTGTCCCCATGGCAACTGGCTAGTCGGCAATGATGTGCGGCCTTCGCCGCTGCCCCCATCTGTCGCTCCCGCACTGCCATCCGTCCCCGACGGCATGGCTCACACACACCGAAAGTTGAAGGTGGTGGAATCCTAAGAAAACCTGCCCCCTATGTTTGGGGGCTCCGCTACCAATGTGATTCTGACCAAATGGAACCTTCCCAAAACCACAAAGAACCTACCTGGACCCTGTCCTAAACACAATGAACCCTGTTCACCTAACTCCTGGTTTTCCTTTCCTGCTCAAGTCTCATGACCCGCCTCTCCCGCCCCGGACTCGTGCCGGAGGGTTGAACATCCAAGGATCCGGCGGACGCTGCATCTGCACAGTTCACAACATATACACATATGGTCCTAGACAGAATTGTGTATGACGATGACCCGGAACATATCAAAATCTCATTTGGTGAAAGTTTTTTCTCGAGTTGGCGAAAATAGTTATTTTTGGCGAAAGATCTGGCGAAAGATTAAATTTGTACTTTTGTATGAATGTTCATTTGCTTCCTGAACAGCTGGTGGCAGTGACTCAGAAGTTAGATGAGCTGTGGAAGTTAGATAACCTGCTGCTGCTGCGGCTGCTACTACTACTACTACCACCACTACCACTACCACTACCACTACCACTACCACCACCACCACCACCACGACTACTACTACTACTACTACTACTACTATTCCTGCTCCTGCTTTGGGGGGGGGTGGCTTTGCCGCAAAACTCTACCCCGCAAAAAAGGCGAAAGTTTGGCGAAAGTTCAGCTCAAGATTGGCGAAAGTTCACCCTGCCACATCTGACCCCCAGCCCATTATGAGTAAGTTTGAGTGACCAGCTACCACAGTGATTCTTGCAATTTTGATTCTTGCTGACACCCAGGAGAAACAAAGAGACGTACAGGGTGGCAACGATTAAGTAGAAGACACATGCTGACAAACAGTGAAGCTTCTATTTTGTGTTTGCCAGTAAAGAAGAAGCCATTGACGTGAACAAAACACAACATACATGGCACACATAAATACAACGTACTTCGGCGAAAGATAAAAACGCAGGAAGGCGAAAGTTTGGCTAAAGTAATTTTTTTGGCGAAAATGACGGATCCCGGATAAAGGAATTTAGATCAACTCCCATTCCCATATATATATATACACACATTGCAACTGTACTTTTCTGTTTTAATTTTCACAGTTCACAGAACCTTTGCCAGTCCAAGATGCACACCCGGGTCAGTGTTACGACTTAGCACGGACAGCAATTCATACTGTAAGACAGTTTCTTGGAGGATGAGATGGGCTCCACGTAAGATGCTTTAGACTGATCAGCTGAAATCAGGATAAGGTCCTACATATATAAATGGTTGCTTACTCTACAGCCGGGATGACAGCCCGAAAAGAGGCCGACCGTGGTAGCTCCTATATGGGCTGCTGACAACACCCTTGTGCACGAGGTGAGCATTCCGTGAGCCTCCATAGATGACACGGTTCTTCGTAAACACTTGGAAGCTTTGCGGAAGAATTTCGCATGTTTTGTCTCGGCTCCAGGACCCGAGTGCTGCTCCCAATATTGCAGACATCAGTTTGCCATCTGGCTACAGTCGCAAGGCCTCTGGCCATTCACATTACTGTTTCTGTGTACCGTGACCTGAGCATTCCTTTTGATCCGTTTTGTACGTTTGGAACTGCCAGGCTGCCCGGCACTTTTGGGATGTCTAGCTGGCACAAGTTGGGAGGATCATAGAGAGCCCTGCAAATGCACTTCAAATGATACACGCGAGTTGCGGAAAGCAGCGCGCAGCAAGCGCCGCAATTTGTGGTTACTTGATGTTATTTGTTGACAATCTGTTCGTCGGCTAGTCAGTGTCTTGAGAGGCCAAGTGCACAAGGTTGTCGGCGGATTGGATATCGAACATGTCATTGTACAAGTCTGCTTACTTTTGTTTTGTCCTTGACTAAAAGTGGGGCAGCTCGCCATAAACGTCGTTGCTATTCAAAGTAGATTAATTCAGGGAACTAGATTGCGATAGGCGTCAAGCAGCTATATAATTGTTGGTTGACCGCCCAAGTGGTAGTGAAAAGGGTGTGGTAACAGATAGTCTCATAGGAATGAGGAGGCGCACGGTTCTTAAACCATTTCATCGTCGGAACAGTTCCAAGATCAGTAGATAGAACCAGCCTTCCCTTGAGCACGCCGCCAGCCCCAAGAGTTCGACAGTGGCACCTTTTGGACGCAGCGAAGTCGACAGCTTTGATTGTTTTGGGCTACGTGGCCGTGGCCTCCCCACTTACAAGGGTGAGGCATGTGGACAGTGAAGGTCAGCTTTGTCTAAGACGAGGTGGGAATGGCTCTACCTTGACGTCACCTTCCCTGTTGTCTTGTTCTGCGCGTGCGCCTTCGCCTTCTTGCTAGAGGCGATTCTAGAAGAAGCGCTTGAGAGATACTCCGGCCGCGACTTTGGAGTCTGCGCAGTGATTGGAGTCTTAGAGGCCAGTCAGGCGGTTTGAGCTTTAGGCGTCGCGTTGGGAGCCGGAGGAACGCTGGAAAGTTAGCGTGGGCCACGTCCTGCTGAATGGGAGCTGGGAGCTGGGTACGAATCAGTCTCAGCTTGCCAAAGCACGATCCATTTGCCGCTCCCAACCGCTGTGTCAACCTTTCCACATATACCGCTTGGTGCTCCCTTTGGCTCAAGGTCTCCGTGGCTGCGCGGTCTTGTTGGCTCCGTCTGGTTGCTTCGCAGCTTTGCTGCGCAGTGCTATCATGTCAGCCTAAAACTAGCGTTTTGTCCTTCATTGTTCAGGTGACCTAACTGTTCTTTGCCCAGGGTTTGTCAGGATGCATTATACGCAAATCAATTGCGTCCTTCGGGTGCACTTTTGCGATAAAACCCGCCCGCGGGTGCGGCCCACCTGGCCTCCATGCAGGCTTTGAGGTTCTGAGTTGCCAGGATCCGGTCGCCCGGCCGGCTGACCGGGTCCGTCGCGGCGTTTGTCGCCAAAGCAGTGCCTTTCGATACTGCCCCCCACCTGGCTTCAGGGTTGTCATGATGCAGCAAAAGCGCATCAGCAAGTGGGCAGGGGGAATTCGGCCTAGGCCCTTGCGTCCAAGTGAAACAGCATGTGAAGAAAAGATTAAGCGCCAGAACGCAGTTCACGTCAAAGAAACACCAATCAAGCCGCTGAGGGTGAGGCGGCCACGCAACTCTCTTTGCAAGGCACAATGATTGTTCATGACGCTTAAGGTCAAGTGAAACTTTGATGAGTGTCGCGCAACAAGAGCCCACATGCTCATCACTGCTTCAGAACTACTACACCTGAACATTTGGTGACGCCGGCCAGGAGGTCTGGAATGGTGGTGGGCCGACTTTCGCTGGAGTCTGACACAACAGGATTCTGTCAACTTTGTGAAGCGATGCTCGGCTGAAGGGCCAAGTCAGTCAAATCGAGGCATCTCCTGGTGGGCCAGTCTTCACCTTTGCAATCTGGGGGCTTGGACCTGACAAAAGGATTTGCTTGTGGATGTTGGAAAAATGAAAGTGGAAACATAAAGGAATAGAAAGAGGAAGGAAGGGAGGAAGGGAAAATAACAATGGAAAGAGGAAACCATTATGCGCGGAATTGCCAATTTTTTTAAAACATTTTTTGTTCTGCAATTATTGCAGACCCAAGTTCCTTGCAAGTGCCAACAACAACGTAACCGCCATTGGTTCGACGCCAAGGCCAGCGCAACTCTTGGACTTGCGAGCGTGGAGTTTGCGCAAATTACCACTGATGTGGGTTCCTTAGCTCTCCATCCGTCAGCCAAACCCATTTCAATTCACTTGAGGCCGTTGAATTTCAAGAAATGGCCCGCCGTCCTGTAAACTTAGTTGCGCGCAATGCGGCGGGACGGTGTGGCGCGTCGCACTCTAAAAAAAGAGACTACCATGTTTGTTCCGAATTGTAAATTATTCGCGCGCGGTGCCGAATCAGGGTACCTTGCATTTCAAGAAAAACATATTTTTGGAAGGAACCTCTGGGTGGTTGAGCGCAAACTCGCATTCCTATCACAGGAAAACCCAGGCATGGCTGCCATGGAAACAAGCCACTACAAAACTTCGAAACTCTGTGATGGACACATGGTTTGCTCAGTGATGCAACCACTAAGTGATCCGACCGAATGGTTAAGTGAATGAGCCTCAAACTGTTTTAATTCCTCTTGGGATTCCACGATGAGTGGCTTTGCAATCTGGCTGACCTGAGCACCGATTCTGCTTGGGGCGCGACCAGCAGACTTCCTGACGGCGCTAGAAAGCGACCTTTGGAGATGATAATTGACCATAATTTACCATAATGATTTGTAGAGCGAATGACAAAGTGTGATCCACCAGCCCCTTTCCGCTTCCAACTTTATATCCCTCAACATGTTTTGCAAGGAACGCATTTCTATTTTCAAGAAACAAAACTCAGGAATGATGCAAAGACAACGCAATTCAAGCAAAAGCATAGTGTGTTTACACCGTTGACGTGTTCGTGTGTTGATGCAGGTGGAGTCGTACTTTGTCGCTGGATCCATTCGTTGGGAAGCAGCCCGTACATGCAGTGGTGGCCTTGAGCACGGTGCTACGCTGCGCAAAAACCCAAACAACGTATACGACATTAAGATGCGCTCATGCCCTCCGCTTTTCGGCGCTTTCATTTATGAAAGAATGGTGGCTGCAATTTGTTTTGCTTTATTCTTTCCACTTGTCCCTCTCTCTCGCTCTCTTGCTCTTACTCTCACTCTTGCGCTGCAGGTGATCTACGAGACGCAGGGGGCAGAAGAACATCATCAGTCTCAAAAGGCAATAATTGCAAGTTCAGTCTCAAAAGGCAATAATTACAAGTTTCCCTAAAGATCTAGGAACCAAATGAATAGTGCGAGCGCTTCTTCAAGGAATCTCCCCCCGCCCTCAGGCAGGGGGAGCTTCCTTGAAGAAGCGTTGAGTAGGTAGTTGCTTCTTAAGCTACTAGCGACACCCTTGCTTCTACTAGCTACCTAGATAGCTACCTCTCCTTAGCAAAAACATGGCAATACCCCAATGCCGTGCAATCGATGCTTCGCAGTGCGCAATGTCAAAGCAGGTGAGGCCGATGACTTTCTCGTCGCGCGCAGGTCTATGTCATGGACGTCCGGGTAATGCCAAAGGCTCTATGGTCCAGCTACACGCTGGGTGAGGCCTGCCAATTGCATGGAGTCACCATTGAAGGAAGCTGCTCAAAGTTTGCTGAACATGTACTGTACTTCGGGAAAACGCAACACTCAAGTTTGCCCATATTAATAAATCATTTGGGCCCTGCCCCCCCCACAGTAACAGTCGTAAAGGGTCAGGGCCCTTAAACCATACCCCCAAAAACAATAATCATATTCAAAGTCATTAAAGGAAATTGGATTGTAATTTCTGGTCTAGGAAACGCGAAATGATTGGAGTAGTGGGCGGGTTAACTCAAAAGAACACAAATCTGAACATAATTGCAAACCAACAACAACCAGTATCATCCCAATCCCTTCACTAATTTGTCAATCTCAAGTGGCAATTCAAATTATGATATGATGGCTCAAGACTGGAACGGTAGCAGGTGGCCAGGATTGCGTGCTCTCACAGCCAAAGGAAAGAGGAAAGAAAGAAAGGAAGGGATGAGAGCCAAGTCCAAATTGGCTCTGGCTCCCTGCTCCACCCCCTGGCTTCCGGCTCGCCACCCATCGCTCCCGGCTCCTCACCTTGTCGCTCCCGGCTCCCCACCTCGTCGCTCCCGGCCCCCACCCCAAATTTTCAAAAAAATTGCTCAAATCCCCGTGTTTTTTTGTGCTTTTTTTGGTGCTTTTTTCCGCCCTGGACCACAAGTCATACCACAAAAAAAAGCACAAAAAAACGCACAAATCATACCACAAAAAAAGCACAAAAAATATCACAAATCATACCACAAAAAAAAAGCACAAAAAAAAAGCACAAATCATAGCACCAAAAAAACACCAAAAAAAAA